ATAGAAGAGCTTGCTCATTGCAAAAGGGGAAGCGGAGGAGCTCTTGCAGAAGAGGCAAGGAGCTCCTTCACTTGCTACAAAGACACAGAGGAGCTTTCAGACGACGTATATTCAGAGATAGCGAAACTCGATCACGTAGAGATAGAGACTCTCTTAATAGAGACTAATGAGTTATGTCATGTCTCATTTATCGGACAGAGAATGGCCCAGGGCGACCTTCAAAACTCTTCATTGATAGAGAAGCTATTTCGGAAAACAAACATGGTGGAGAACTCTCTCATTCCTGCAATGTGATACAGGAGGTCTCTCATGACCTCTTGTGAGATAGAGACCGGTTGCATCAGGGAAGTTTTCCCTGGAAACCCTTTGCTATTCCCTTACTTTGGTGCTGAAACCATCACGTTCTTGTTCCTTAATGCCCCAGTAAACCCTTGGAGAAAGAGGTGTTTTCAAGATGTGGTGTGGTATCTCATGTAGGAATGTACAATGGTTAGACACTAGCGCTCTTGCTTTCAAGAAGCAGTCTTGCAAGTAATGGCTCTGGGTTATGTCACGGGTTGGTTACGGTAATAGGCAGACTACACAAATACACCCTCCATTAAATTCCCGTAGCCCTATAAACCTTACACCCTGCACGCGAATCCTGAGCCCCCTAAGACTCCTATGCCCCCTACGATGAGATATAGTTCATGGGAGAGCTCTTATACCGTTTATGAATGCATTCTTCTATCTTTGAGATGAAAGAGCTCCTCTATCTTCTCATAGGAAATGAAAGAGATCCTGCATATGAAAAGAAAAGACCCTTCGAGAAAAGTTAAAGAATGGTAACGAATCCATGTCATCAATCTTTTCATGCGTAATGAGAGCGCTCCACACTCTTAATGGAACATGAAAGAGCTCTTCCATTTCTTTGAAATCAAAACCTTGCTTTCTCCCTGAGTGACAAAGATCTCTTGGAAATGAGAGATCTCTGCTACCACTTTCGAAAAAATGAGCTCCTATATCTCGGAGTCGGAAAGATAAAGATGTGAAAAGGAGCCCTCCCAAACCTACGAGGCGCCAGAGCACCCGCCCGCAGCTTTTCAAGCAGGAGAAAGGCTCTTTCGTAAGGGGCGGAGGAGCTCTGTCATTCCCTCAACCAGAGGGAGGGGAGCCCTCTCATGACCTATTCAAGAGAGAGGAGATAGAAGAGCTTGCTCATTGCTCTTTAGGATGCGGAGGAGCTTTTGCACAAGAGGCAAGGAGCTCTTTTACTTCTACAAACGCATAGAAGAGCGTTTAGATGACCTGTTACGAAATAGAATAAATGCTGTCTCACGTAAGCGAGAGAGACTGATGAGTTATGCGACGCTCCATTTCAGGGATAGGCCTTCGAAACCTTCAATTAGGGTTGATCTCTCGCAAAAAGGTAAAAGAGCTATGTCATTTCCTACGAAGCGATAAGCAGCCTAGAGACAATCGGCTTCTCTCATGTTTGCTTCATGGATAGAGAAGCTTTTCTCAACCAAAACCAAAGAGACGGATCATGTCCCATTGAAAGATAGACGAGTTCTGTCTTTGTACGTTACGAGGTGGGGGAGCTCTTTCACAAGAGGTAGGTAGAGGACTCTCTCATGTCCGGCAAAGAGATAGAGACGATCTTTCATGACCCGCTACGAGATAGAGAGCCTCTTTCATGTAAAGGGTAAGATATAGAAGAGCTGTGAGCTCCTTTACCTATCGACGGGAACTCTTATAGCTTTCATGAATGAGTTCTTGCCAGTGAACAAAGGGAGCTCTTTCACAAAGGGTAGATAGAGACCTCTCTCATTTCCTGTAAAAGAAAGAGGAGGTCTCTCACGACCTGATTATTGCGAGATAGAGAAGCTATGTCATATAAAGATAAGAAATGGTAGAGCTGAGGACTCCTCTGCCTAGTGACGGGAAATCAGTTAGATAGGACATGAGAGAACTCTCATACATTTCTTATGAATGAGTTCTTCAATCTCTGAATAGAAAATGAATGAGCTCCTGTGTCTTCGCATACGAAATGACAGTGTGGAAATGAGCTGTCTCATGACCTGTTAGGAAACAGAGGAGATAAAGAGCTTGCTCATTGCAAAAGAGGAAGCGGAGGGCTCTTGCAGAAGAGGCAAGGAGCTCCTTCACTTGCTGCAAAGATACAGAGGAGCTTTCAGATGACCTATTCAGAGATAGCGAAACTCGATCACGTAAACGATAGAGATTGAAAAGTTATGTCATGCCCCATTTCAGGGATAGAGAATGGCCTTCCAGACTTTCATTTCGAATAAAGGAGAGATCTGTCACAGAAAGGTAGAAGAGCTATTCATTTCTTATTATATCACGGGTAGACAAGCTTTTTCTCAAATACAAACAAAAAACCTGGCTCATGCACCATTGAAAGATAGACGAGTTCTGTCACTCTCGATCACAAGGTGGAGGAGCTCTTTCACACGAGGTAGGTAGAGCACTCTCTCTTTTCTTGCAAAGAGATAGAGAAGATCTGTCATGACTCCATGAACCGTTACGAGATAGAGAAGCCTCTTTCATGTAAAAGATAGGTCATGGTAGAGCTGAGAGCTCCTCTGCCTAGTGATGGCAAACGAGAAATAGGAACCAAAGGAGATAGAAGAGGTTGCTCATTGCAAAATAGGAAGCGGAGGAGCTATTGCAGAAGAGGCAAGCAGCTCCTTCACTTGCTGCGCAGACACAAAGGAGCTTTCAGATGACCTGTTCAGAGATAGCGAAACTCTCTCACGTAAACGATAGAGACTGATGAGTTGTGTCCCCATTCAAGGGATAGAGAATGGCCTTCCAAACTTTCATTTCGGGTAAAGAAGAGATCTGTCGCAAAAAGGTAGAAGAGCTATGTCATTTCTTATGCATCGATAAACGGCTACTCGCATGATTTCTTCATCGATAGAGAAGCAGCTATTTCTGAATAGAAATTCACAATGGAGCTGTCTCATGTCCCAGTGAAAGATAGACGAGTTGTGGCATTTGATTTTGAGGTGAAGGAGCTCTTTCACAAGAGGTAGGTAGAGGACTCTCTAATGTTCTGCAAAGAGATAGAGACAATCTTTCTTGACCCGCTACGAGATAGAGGAGCCTCTTCCATGTAAAGGGTAGGATGTGGTAGAGCTGTGAGCTCCTCTACCTATCGACGGGAAATTAACAAGAAAGTACATTCGAGAGCTCTTACAGCTTCTATGAATGAGTTCTTGTGATTGAACAAAGGGAGCTCTTTCACAAAAGGTAGATAGAGACCTCTCTCATTTCCTGCAAAAGAAAGAGGAGGTCTCTCATGACCTATTGCGAGATAGAGAAGCTATGTCATATAAAAGATACGAAATGGTAGAGCTGAGCGCTGGTGACGGCAAATGAACTAGGTAGGACATGAGAGAGCTCTTATACATTGTATGAGAGATTTCTTATATCTATATCTCTTGTGAACGAGTTCTTCAATCTCTGACTAGGAGATGAATGAGCTCCTGTATCTTCTCATACGAAATGACAGAATGGATATAAATGATGTCCTCTAGCTGTTAACGCAACATGAAAAAACCTCCTCTATCCCCTAAAAGAGAAGGAGAGAGGGAAGCCCGCTCATGACCTATTAGGAACCAGAGGAGATAAAAGAGCTTGCTCATTGCAAAATAGGAAGCGGAGGGCTCTTGCAGAAGAGGCAAGGAGCTCCTTCACTTGCTGCAAAGATACAGAGGAGCTTTCAGATGACCTATTCAGAGATAGCGAAACTCTATCACGTAAACGATAGCGAGTGATGCGTTATGTCATGTCCCATTTGATGGACAGAGAATGGCCCAGAGTGGCCTTCAAAACTCTTCATTGATAGAGAAGCTGCGAAGCTATTTCTGAAAATCGACATAGAAGAGAACTCTCTCATTTCCTGCAGCGTGAAAAAGGAGGTCTCTCATGACCTATTGCGAGATAGAGAAATTTCACGTAAGAGTTAGGTAATGGTAGAGCTGGGCACGCCTCTGCCTCTTGACGAGAAATGAGCTCGTGTATACTTCATGAATGCGTTCTTCTATCTCTCAGATGAAAGAGCTCCTCGATCCTTCTTATAGGGCATGAAAGAAATCCTGTGTTCGAAATGAAAAGACCCTTTGATAAGCAAAAGAAAAAGGGAAACGAATCGATGCCTTCTATCTTTTAGTGCAGAGCTTCTCACTTCTAATGCGACATGATAGAGCTCCTCTATTTTCTTGGAAATGAAACAGCTTGCGTTCTCTCCTGAGTGAAAGATGTCTCTGTCGTGGAAATGAGATCTCCTCTATGTTTCTAAGAAATGAGATAGCTCACCTCTACCTCGTAATCGGAAATGAGAGAGCCCTTCGCCCCTCTTCAGGCTATGAAACAACTTGTCTATCTCTTACTTCAAAGTGTGCTAGAGCTACATGGCTGCACTTGCTGGCGCCGGTGCACACACAGACCAAACCTTCACTATTACTGTTACTACTACTAATACTATTACTAGTATTATTACTATTCCTATTCCTATTACTATTACTAGTACTATTATTATTCCTATTACAATTACGGTCAGTATTATTATACTCATAATAATATTAAAATTATTATTATTATTATTATTGCACTACTACTGAAAGAAGAACCAGCCGTGAAATAGACCCTAAAGGTCTCGGCCACATATATACATATATATATATATATATATCATTTTTGATCAGAGGGTTTAGGGGGCCATCCTAGTATGCTAGCATGAACGAGAAGAGGCTGCGGCCATTCACAGAAACCCGAAATCCTGGAGCTCTAGGCAGCAATCTCTTGAGGGTTCAGGGCTTTCGGGCTTCAGGGCTTCATGCAGTGTACGGGTTCGCGTTTAAGGGTTTATGGCCGTAACCCTAAACCCTGACCCTACACCCTAACCCTAAACCCTAAACCCTAAACCCCTAAACCCCTAAACCCTTAAACCCCTAAACCCCTAAACCAACCTTGGAAAATGAGCCCTGGTCAAGGGCCCAAGCTGTCTCTACGATCCATCTGCCGCCCAGGTGGGTTGAGGGGTTGCAGGTCTTAGGGCTTAGGGTTTAGGGTTTAGGGTTGAGGGGTTGGGGCTTAGGGCTTAGGGCTTAGGGCTTAGGGCTTAGGGCTTAGGGCTTAGGGCTTAGGGCTTAGGGCTTAGGGTTTAGGGTTTAGGGTTTAGGGTTAGGGTTTAGGGTTTACTACAAGGGTGATAATGGTTTTGTGTAGCCTTGGGTGAATGTTAGGGCTTTATCATGGGTTCGCTACTAATTACCCCCCTCTATACTACCCCCGGTGCTCCCCCTCATTCAGGCTATTTCGGGACCATTAAGCCCAAGAAGCTTATTTATGGGGGCAACCTAGGGGAGGGGGGGGGGAGGGGGCAGGATAGAGGGTTGTAGGGAAACCCATGACTTTAGCCCTTACTGTTGGGGTCTTTAGGGGTGTGGGGCATGGGGAGGGCATCAAAGGGTAGGGTTTAGGGTTTAGGGTTTAGGGTTTAGGGTTTAGGGTTTAGGGTTTAGGGTTTAGTGTTTAGGAATTTTGCGTGTGGCTGAGGGCATCCTGTCGTGGCGTAGGGTCTTGGACTTGAAGGCGAATGGAGGGTTCAAGCTTCCACGCTAGCCGCTAGTAGTCAGGGTCCTTGCTCTTCCACCCTTGAACACCCCGAAAACCCCATCAACCCCAAACTCAGTAAACCCTAAACCCCCTAAATCCTAACCCGCCTCGCCCAAACCACTTCTTGGGATTCGACCTTGAATAGGCTACAGGTTGTTCCTATGCCGTGTTAAGCACCTGGCAGTTTTCGAGGCGATACTCGCCGCCGTCTCCTACCGCAGGCGCATGAGCAGTTCTCCTCTTCTCAAGGAAGACAAGACTTCCCAGAATCCTGCAGGATCCCAAAAGTACAGCTCCCAAGTAGGACCCAATGTATACCATTAAGGGGTCATTCTCAAGAACCCTTAGAGGGACTTCCTTTATAGTTTTTGGAGCCTCCCATCAGGGGTCTGGGTTAGGGTGTTGGGTTTAGGAGTCGTTCCCGAAGCCCAAACCTCTAACACCTAAACCTTAAACCCCAAACCCTCGTTGGCAGCAGCCGGTCTCTACTCTCAGCTCCCCCACCCTAAAAAAAAGCAGCCGCATACCCAAATCTGCTGCCTTGACTATAACTTTGGAGCTACCAAAAATGTGCTCAGGCTGTGTTTGATTTGGTGTGAGGTGTTCTTGCTTGTTTTTCGTTTGCTCGTCTTGTGGCCGGGCTTACACCTCCAACCTGAACCCTAGACCCTACACCCTAGACCCTAAACCCTAAGCCCTAAACCCTAAATCCTAAACCCTAAACCCTAAACCCGGAAGGAACATGCCACAGAGCACAGACTGCCAAGGACGAAAACTCGGAAAGCAAACCCCCGACAGTCCCCGCCCGTTCAAGTCTCAACCAAAAGCCCGGTTTAGGGTTTATGGTTTAGGGTTTAGGGTTTAGGGTTTCAGGTTTAGGGTTTTAGTGACCTTGGGATGTTCCCCCTCATACTAGCAGTCCTTAATACGGATACGGACTATAACAGGGGGGCATGATAATCCCTACTAAGGACTGTCAGAAAAAGTGGGAACATCCCAAGCCGATCCAATAAGCCCTACTTCCACGGCTGCGATTGCAAACCTGTTTACCGAGAAGGTTCCAGGAAATTCTCGAATGCCCTTTCGAAACCTCAACCCTAAACCCTAAACCCTAAACCCCAACAACCCGCCTAAAGTTGCAGGTCCCCGACTGGTGAACTCGTGGTCGAGCGGCTTGGAGGTCGGGTCGGAGTTGTCAGTGGTAGGCCCCCTTGGAGGGGGTTGGGGGGGGGCCTTTCAGGGTTTAGGGGTGCGGGTGTCTTTGGGGCAACAAGGGAGCCTATATACAAGCTGTGGCCCGTGCGAGGGTCTTTGTTTCGGGTGGATACCTCCAGATGCACACTGCAGGTCTGTCCCCAAAGCCGCCCTCGACCTGAATCATTCCAACCCGAATCCCTCAACATCCCTTAACCCCAGCCGACGGGTTGCGCATAAGTGGCTTGGGCTACTTTTTGTTTCTCCAGGCGTTTACAGGGCTTCAGGGCTTTGCGGTCAGAAAGGAAGAGGCTCCGAATCAGTAAAGAGGGTTTGGAAAGCTGTCGCAAGCCTCAATGCTTTTGTCTCTAAGCTCATCACTTCCTGTCCCCACCATTCAGACCCTCGACATCACAGCGCTCGGTAGCACTGTAAAGCCCGCGGCCATCCTTGATGCAAGTGCAATGGACTCCCTCTTCGTCAGGTGGCCGAGAGTGAGGCGAAGTTCTCGCTGCTGTGGACGCCTGGCGCAACGGCCGTCACCTACGCCGTGGGGCTCTTAAGTTGGCGGTTGGTGGCTGTTGCGGCTCTCGAGTTGAGACAGTTTTGGGTTCAGGACGTAAGGGTTGCACGTAGGCTTTGGGGTTGGAGGGCTCTGCGATACTTAGGGCTTCAGGCTTACACAGTTAGACCCTAAACCCTGAACCCTAAACTCTAAACTCTAAACCCTAAACCCTAAACCCATAGTGCAGGCTGTCGTCCGTCCTGGTCCCAGAATCCCAGAACTATGTGTGAGGGTGCTGGGGCTTTGGGCGTTCAGGTGTGGCTGAGCGTTTTACGTCCTCGCTGTCACTGCTTGGGCTGAAGAGGCTACTTTTGAAGAAAGAATGCCTAGATTGACCCTAAACCCTGCTTTTACATAAGGTTCAGTGGGTTTAGGGTTTAGGGTTTAGGGTTTAGGGTTTAGGGTTTAGGGTTAGGGTTTAGGGCAACCTAGAAATTAGAAACCTGTGCGCGCTCCGAGTCTGCACCCCGTGCGGCGCGAGTACCGGAAGTACCTCCTCAGGACAGCCACCGAGGGTTTAGGGTTTAGGGTTTAGGGTTAGGGTTTAGGGTGTAGGGTTTAGGGTTTAGGGTTTAGGGTTTAGGGTTTAGGGTTTAGGGTTTAGGGTTTAGGGTGTAGTAGGGCCTTCGTGCAGCTCAGGCGATTTTGGGGTTTAGGGTTTTTTTGTTTAGGGTTTAGGGTTTAGGGGGCTTTTGGGTTGAAGGTGCTGTAAGGAATTTGGGTTTAGAATTTAGGGGGTCGGGAGCCAGGCAGTTGGGCTTGCTGTAGGCTCTTGATTGGGTTCTGTGATGTGGGGCTCGAACATCACTGGCAGCACACAAGAGCCCTGGATATGACCACAACTGAATGTTCAAAGGTGTGTGCTTCTCTGCCTTCCCTCAGGCAAGAAGGACTGTTTTTTCTGAGTGCTTGGCACCCCGAAACCCTAAACCCTAAACCCTAAACCCTAAACCCTAAACCCTAAACCCTAAACCCTAAACCCTAAACCCTAAACCCTAAACCCTAAGCCCTAAGCCCTAAGCCCTAAGCCCCAAACCCACAGGCCCTCTCTGCCTTGGCAGACCCTGGTGCCTCACACGGTCCACGTATCCCAACCCACCACACCCCGATCTGCACATAAACCGAAAGCCCTAAACCTCCAAAACCCTAAACCCTAAACCCTAAACCCTAAACCCTAGACCTCAAACAAAACCTTAAGAACCTAAAAATCCCTTCGAAAGCCTCAAAAGCCATTAACACCCTTTCAAAAAACACGAAAGCTCATGATTCCCTAAACCTCAAACCCTAAACCCTGAACCCTAAACCCTAAACCCTAAAGATCGTGCTTTAGCCAGGAGCCCGTCACGACCCAGCCCATCCCGGCTAAAGGCGACTCAGGGGTTGGCTTCAAGGGACTAAAGGAGGGACCCTTCTAAGGGACCTTGGGGTTTAGGGTTTTAGGGTTGTAGGGTTTTAGGGCTTTAGGGTTTTAGGATTTTATGGCTTTAGGGTTTGGGGTTTTCGGGTTTTACGGTTTTAGGGTTTCAGCGTTTAGGGTATTTCGGGTTAGTTGGGGGGCTGCTTGGGTATATAGGGACTATGTACGGTATATATAGCTTGTGTCTTAGGTTTTTTTTGGGTTTTTTGGGTTTGGGGGTTTAAGGTTCGAGGGTGTAGGGATTAGGGCTACAGGGACTGTCGGGTCTTCGGGTTGCAGGGTTTAGGGTTTAGGGTTTAGGGTTTAGGGTTTAGGGTTTAGGGTTTAGGGGTTGGGTCTTAGGGCTTTAGGGTTCAAAAAGGGTCTGAGGGTTAGGGTTTCCAGAGTTTGGGGTGGGTCTGGGATGAATATGGTGTTTGTGGTTTGGGGTTTAGGGTTTGGGGATTAGGGTTTGGGGTTTAGTTAGGGTTTAGGGCTTGGGGTTTGGGGTTTTTGGGTTTGGGGTTTGGGGTTTGGGGTTGGGGCTTACAGGTCTTTCGCTTTCTGAGGATTAGCGTTCGAAAGTGGAGATAAGCGCGTACTTGTGAGACGCGAGTCTCCTCCCTGTCCTGGGCCCTCAACTCATGAGGGGGGTTAGGGTTTAGGGTTTAGGGTTAGGGTCCCGGGCGTTTAGGGTTTTAGGGTCTCTAGAGGACAAGAGACAAGAGGTTTAGGGAACAGCCCCTACTCGGAATCCTTAATCATAAGGGTGGTTGTACTACATTTGGGGGGCCCCCTTTCGAAAATGTAGGTGATATCATTACAAACTGACATAAAGTTCCTTGTCTAAACAAGCTGGGCCCAAATTCGGTCAAAAGTCCGGACCTGAACACAAACAATTTCTATGGACCCTAAACCCTAAACCCAATCCCCAAAGTCACCGCGCGTTCCGTATGGATCTTGGTGAGTGTATTAACCCTCAAGCCTACACCCTAAACCCTGAACCCTGAACCCTAAACCCTAAACCCTGAACCCTGAACCCTAAACCCTAAACCCTAACCCACTTCACCTGGTGCGCGGAAGGAGAGGCGACCCCCCAACCGCAGGAGCGAGCCGCGAGCCTCAGCATTTCCGGTTTGAAGACTCAGGGTTCTAGGGTTTAGGGTTTAGAGTACGACTATTTGCTTAAGAACCCCCAAAAGAAAAATGATGCCTACATTACCCTTACCCTTACTAAGGAAGAGTATGTTTTTTTCGGGGCACTTAAGCAATTAGTTGTCTAGGGCTTCGGCAGTCGGTTTTCGGGAGCCCTCAACCGTAAACGAACCCCTATTTTTCCAGATCTCAAAGCTGAAGGCTAAACGCCCCTAAACCCTAAACCCTAAACCCTAAACCCTGAACCCTGAACCCTGAACCCTAAACTCTCTTGTTTTGTGCAGAGGGGGTTTTTATAAAGGCGAAGATAAAGACGGAACCTTGCAGGATGCCCATAGGGTTTATAGAAATTGATAGAAATTGTATAGGGCTTGTGTCCGGGGTTTTGCCGATTTTTGCCGGGGGTTTTGTTTTTTGTTTTTGCTCGAATGGTTTTGCTTTTGCTGCAATGGTTTGTGTTTTGTCTGGTTTGGTGGGGGGGGTGACTTGTTTTCACTGTGAAAGATGAAGGATTATTGCACGAGCTGCTCGTACCGAAACGCGTACAAATTCCATTTATCCTGGCCTTGAGGGTTTAGGGTTTAGGGTTTACGGTTTAGGGTTTAGGGTTTAGGCCTCATGGACAGCTTTCAGTCGAGTCTTGCGAACTTCTTACACATGTCGGATTGTAGACCTTGTGGACCCTGAATTCAGATCCCTACACTCCCTAAACTCTAAGCCCTAAACCCTAGGGTTCCCTACTACACCCCCAGCCCCCACCCCACCCTGCACACGCACACGCTACAACCGAAACCCTGAATCCCTAGACCCCAAATCCTTGAGACCCCGAATCCCTGAAAACCCTATTAAGGACTGTTAGTATAAGGCGGAACATCCCAAGGCTTCGGGTTTGTCCAAAGGTTTTGGGTGTTTCGGGGTTTGGAGGTTTAGGGGGTTTAGTGGTTTAAGGTTTAAGGGTTTGGGCCATGAGGTTTAGGGGCTTGCGCGTGCAGTCAGTGCACGGATTCCGGGGTTGCGGTCCAAACCCTAAACGCCAAGCTCTACACTCTGCACCTCAAAAACCCCTAAATTCCCAAGCCCCCTAAACCCCCTCCCGAAAGCCCCCCTACCCTAAAAGCCCTTAACCCTACACCCTAAGCGCCCCTAAAGTGCCCTAAAGCCCTGAACCCAGTAAACACAGACACCCACGGTAATTTCCCAAGCATACGACCAGGCCCGGCCCTTCCGCAATGCCCGGGAGATGAGGCGGCTTAGTGTTTAGGGTTTGGGTTTAGGGTATAGGGGCTTAGGGTTCAGCATCTCACGTCCAAGCGTTCACTAGTCAAGCAATTACTCTAGCGTTGGAAAAATACCCACCCCCATAACATTAAGAAACTATTTCACTTACATTTTTCGGACGCACCAATACAAACCCCAAGCCTTGAGGCCCGGAAACCCTAAAAACTCCAGGCCCTGAGACCCTGAAACGCTAAATCCTAATTACCCTAAACCCAGGCCTAGAGGCCCTGAAACCCTAAACCGCAGGCCCTGAGGCCTTTGAGGGACGGGGTGGGCGTCTCGGCCTACCCATGGGCCTTGCTGGCGCACTGCACACGAAAATTCGGGCCTTGCCCACGAATTTTCGGACCTTGCCCACGAATTGTCGGATCTTTGCCCAGACCCGAAAATTCGTGGCAAGGCCCGAAAATTCGTGTGCAAATTGGCCTTGGCCTTGCCCACGAATTCTCGGGCCTTGCCCTGGAATTTTCGGGCCTTGCCCACGAATTTCATTAGTAGGGTTTAACTATATATAAGTAAGAGAGGTTTAGGGTTTAGGGTTCAGGGTTTCATCCGGGTGAAGGTGTTGAAGCTCAGGATGTTTTGGCACCTAAACCCGAAACCCTAAACCCAGGGAGGGGACCCCCGGAGCCTTGCAGGACTTAAGGTTACAGGGTGCAGAGATTCGCCGAGTGGTTTCAGCCCGGCTGATCAGGGGATCTTTCAGAGGAGATGGTGCATGCTGCGGGCATCCGAATGTATTTTCGTATGTTGCCTTACTCTCAAGCAGTTGGTGTAAAGCTACATGGAACGTTGTGCTCTTTTTTAGCATCTTCTTCTGTTGAATTACTAGTTGTCACTTTTGATCTTCTTGTTGCAACCATAGTTTTTGACATGTCAAAAACAGAGTATCCAGTTGCAACTTGTTTTGGACATGTTCAAAGGGTAGTCTCCAGCTATTTCATGATCTTCCACCGTACTTACACCACCTTGCGTCAGTCAAGAGCCCCTAAACCCTAAACCCTAGACCTTGCACCACTGATTTCAGCCTAAAGACCCCGAGATCTCAAAACCACTCACCGACCCCAGATCGACAGACTTGTCCGCCCAATAACCCCAAACCTCCAACCCAATGACACATCACAACAAACTCATCCCAAAGGCGCGCGCTAAACTCCAAGACCTCCATCCCAAAGACGAGATGTGTGTTAACGGTTGCGGGTTATTCGCAAAACAACAAGATAGGCGCCGGGATATGTAAAAAAAGGGTACTTTGATGCAGTTTGTCCGAGAGCTATGGAGGAGCCTCCTGAGACCCCGTGCTTTGGACAAGGGCTGAGTTTAAGACCCTGAAAGAATTATGGGAGGGCTGAGTAGATTCCGTAGCCCCCCCGTTGAAGCCCCGCTTCCCTCCAGGACATTTGTATTTCATTTGCCTCAGATAGGGTTTTGGGTTTGGGGTTTGGGGTTTAGGGTTTTGGGGTTTGGGGTTTGGGGTTCAGGGTTTAGGGTGGGTTTAGGGTTTTCCGGGTTTGGGGGTTTGGGGTTTAGGGTTTAGGGTTTAGGGTTTAGGGTTTTAGGGTTTAGGGTTTAGATTTAGGGTTTAGGGATGAGGAGCTCTACGTAAGGCCTGCTCACTTTAGCGTGGCTCCCAAGTCGCGAGGCGCCCGGCGATGACTGACTGAGGGCCGCCAAACCCTAAACCCTAAACCCTAAACCCTAAACCCTAAACCCTAAACCCTAGACCCAAAACCACCCCGGGCTTGATGGTTTAGGGTTTACTGGCTGGTTCTCAGAGGGAATGAGGGAATGAGGTACCCTTTTTAATCCCTTGAAGGGTATACTTAGGGTTCAGGGGTTTAGGGTTTAGGGTTTAAGGTTTAGGGTTTAGGGGTATATGTAGGGCCTTAATTCCCTCATTCCCGACTGAGAACCAGGGGCTTTAGGGCGACACGTCTCCTAGATCCCCGGACCCCAAAGCCAAAGATCTCAATCGGCTTAGGATTGCGTTCAAAGTCTATCACGGCTGCGGTTCAGGGTTTCTGGCTTAGGGGGAAATTTAGCAAAAATGGTAAATCCTACATGCAGACCAGGCCATGACATCCTGCTGGTGTTGCTTTTTCTCCTACATGCATACCAGGCCATGACATCCTGCACGTGTTGCTTTGCCGCACTTAGCAGAGGTCGAAAAAGAGCTGGTGTTTGACAAAAGTGCTTCCTAAAGCTACGACACCAGTATCCAACATTTTGTCTGGCGCCTCCATGGAATGCCCAAGGAAAAATGCAGGGTAGTATTGTTTAGTGAATGTTATCGTTATCCCATATTGTTTCCTTTTTCTCATCACAAGGGATCTTCATTTTGATCGGCCAAATCTATATTCAAGACGAAGGGTAAAGAATATAACATTTGAAGATTTATTACGATAATAAATACAATATTATATATATATATATATAATATCTACATATAGATATATATATATACATATATTTTCTGATCGATCTTCTCAATGGAATCATCTCGATTGGAAGATTCTTATATTTTGAGAAAAATATAGGTTTATGAATTTTGACACTCGAAATTAATTTTAACGCTACGCGACCCGCCTCGGCCCGGCCCAGCGCATCCGCAGCGCCCAAGTCGCTGGACCCAAGCAATAAGGGTTGGGTTTAGGGTTTAGGGTTCCGGGTTTATGGTTTATGGTTTGGGGTTTAGGGTTGAGGGTTAGTTTAGGATTAAGGGCTTAGGGCTCAAGGTTCATGCTTTGGGGTTTAGGGTTTTTTTGGGTTTAGGGCAGAGGGGAAAGGGGGGGGGCTAAGATTTAAGGTTTCGGGTTTCGGTTCAAGCTTAGACTCTTCGGCTCGTCCCCGGCCGTGCTCACACCAGTTGAGCCTCCGAAAACCGGGGGCGAAAGGGGGGGGGGGGGGGGGGGTGGGGGGGGTGGGGGGGGGGTGGGGGGTGTGGGGGGGGGTGGGGTGGGGGCTGGGGGGGGTGGGGGGGGCCGTGGGGGGGTGGGGGGGGGGTGGGGGGGGGGGGGGGGGGGGGGTGGGGCGGGGGGGGGGTGGGGGGGGGGGGGGTGGATGGGGCGGGGGTGGGGCGGGGGCTGGGGTGGGGGGGGGGGGGGGGGTGTGGGGGGGGGGTGGGGGGGGGTGGTGGGGGGGGGGGGTGGGGGGGGGGTGGGGGGGGTGGGGGGGGGGCGGTGGTGGGGGGCTGGGGGGTGGTGGGGGGGGTGGGGGGGTGGGGGGGGGGTGGGGGGTTTTGGGAAGGGACCCATTTGAGGCAAAAAAGGCTGGGGGGGGGGGGGGGGAAGGGAAGGGGGGGGGGGGGGGGGCGGGTGGGGGGGAGGGGGGGGGGGGTGGGGGGGTAGAGGGGTGGTTGGGAGGGTTGAAAAAGGGGGGGGCCCTGCTGGGAAGGGCTGCAACTACCTCTGGTCTTGGCTGCTCACCTAGGGGGGGTACTCATTTGAGGCAAAAAAAGGGGTCTGAAAAAGGGCTTTGGGTCTGGGGGAGGATTTGGAGGGGGGTGCCTGTTCTGATTACCTATACACCTTCGGCCCGAGGCCTCGGCGGATTTGATTATGATATTTTTTTTGAAAATGAACTTATTTGGATAGATGAGATAGTATTCTTTTTTGGAATGGATTATGATTATTTAGAGGTTATAAGCCTAGAAATATAAATATTCAATTATCTTCTTTTATTATGGGAACTATGATTATCTACTCTATAAAACGCTACGGTCAAACCAGCCCTATGCGGTGCGTCACGCCTCGGAGTGCCCCAGCCCCAAAATTTTCCGGAAATTTCTGGACCCCGGCGAGCAAGCCGCTTTGGCCTACCCGGGACCCAAAATTTCCGGGAAATTTTGGGGCTTGGGCTGTGCCCTTTGAAAGGCTGGGCCTCTTCGACGGCCGCAAGCCAGATTCGCTCCCCTAAATTTCTGGAAAATTTCTGGTTCCGGGTAGCCCGAAGCCTCGGTCCCTAAATTTCCGGAAAATTTGCTTCATCGCTTTCCTAAATTTTCCGAAAATTTACACACCCAAAATTTTCAGGAAATTTAGGAAACGGATGCAGCCTGATCATGTTCAGAAGCCACGGCCCAGCTCCCTAAATTTCCGGAAAATTTAGGGTGCTGGGTGGCCGAAAATGTCGAAGCATTGTTGACCGCTTGAACCGTTGAGTTCAGGTGTTGATCATTTGCCATGTTGTTGCATGCTTTCATTGCATGCTTTCATTGTTTTCAATCGTGCTTTGTTTTGTGGCATTACAAAGCTAAAATATTAAACAGGACTTTTACTTCACTTCCAAGATGAGCGCATCACCTGGCATTACCAGGATATTACGAGCGTGCCTTGTTTTATGGCATTACAAAGCGCATTACCTGGCATTACCAGGTCGTCGTCGTCGTCGTCGTCGTGCGTCGTGGTCGTCGTCGTCGTCGTCGTCGTCGT